TATATATATATATATATATATATATATATATATATATATATATATATATATATATATTATTGAAAAATGGCCTTTGAGCATTCTAATTGGTTCCCTCAGCAGAAACTCTTAGGCAATAGTTACTGCCCAGACTGATCTGAGCAGTAACTATTGCTTTTCCCAAAAAAATAGCTGAAAATCAGACACAGGTAAATTATTTAATATGCAAATTATATTAAAAAATAAAGACATGTATTAGTTGTATTTTATAAATAAAACTTTTTCAATACTGAATTTACACTAAAACAATTAGTCACCTCAGGCTTGGTGATTACAAGCCTATATTCACTTCAGCTCAGTGAATATAGGCGGGTAATCATCTCGCCTTTGGCGACTAATTGTTAAATAGATATAAACTACATAAATGTGACAATAACTGTATAGTACCTTCAAGTGCCTTTGGCGACTAATTGTTAAATAGATATAAACTACATAAATGTGACAATAACTGTATAGTACCTTCAAGTAACTTCTTTTTGTGTGCCAGTCAACTATACAGAATGGGTACAGATGATCCAACCTTTGCTTTGGAGAATGGCACCCAGCACGTAGATCTTTCGCACCAGCAAATCTGACACGGGTGAGTTGATCTCCATTGCATGGTATTTTCACACCATGCAATGGATCACTCTCGGTTGCAGCAGGTGGTACATGTGAGGCAGGTTGATCAGGTCTGGAATGGGCTGTGATTACAGGGGTGATTTCCTTGGAGGATTCAGACTCAGGAGAACACAGACCAGCAGCTGAATATATCTCATGGGTCCATTTCTCCAGCTGATCCAAAACATCAACACATTCAGCATACTTCTTCTCATCCTTCATTACAACTGGCATTGTGATGACTTCTGACCGTGTTGACATTTCTTTGGCATATGCACACTCAGTTACTTGAGGGGTGTACTGTTTAAACATTTCAAATGCTGGAAAATGCTCAAATAATAGTTTTGCAATGATTGCACGGTAGCGGGCTCGAATTTTTTTGGTGTCTTCATCATTCACAATCACTAGATCGTCGACATTACAGTGATGGAGATTCTTCTGTGGACCAGAGTTTGGTAAATCTTTTTCTGGAACTCTATTAAACACAATGCTGGTAGCAACTGCATGCACACTTCGGTTTTGTACATCCTGTCTCATATCATGGGCTTTTTCTTCCCAATCAATGTTGTCGAGGACATACACAAACCTGTGTCCAGACTTCACCAACTCTGCAGCACGGTCAAGAAAATGATTGCCAATGTCATTGAGGATGTTGTACTTCATTTTTAGCTCAAGACAGAAACCATACTTATTTAATTCAGCAATCACCTAACAATGACACAAAATAAAAATCAATATACCAGAGACTGATTTTCATATTTTCGTTCGGGGAAGGGGGGTGATAAATATCTGGGGGGTGTTGCTGCTTGCTTTGACTGGGGCGTGGTGGCAATGCTCGGAAAGACCAATGAAAAAGGTTAACAAAATTTGTTTTCTAGGCCTGCATGGTGAGATCTGAGACCATAATATTGGTAATTTTACAAATTTAGTAGTAAGAATAATCAAATATGACACTATCAAATCAAAATATATATAATTTGCGGGGGTGCAAAAACTTTTGGGGCGGTGCCCAATGCCTCTGGGGGGGTGAAAATCATTTCTGGGGGTGCGCACCCCCCAGAAATCTGTGCCTGCAATATACACGGGGTTCATACAGGTAAGGAACATTAAAATTCAAGGTCTTTTAAGGACTTTCGAGGCAGGGCATTTGAAATTCCTAAAAAGTGGTTTTAATCTACAACTGTGAAATATAACAAATTTCAGAAAATACAATGTCGGAAAGCTGAAGCAAAACAAATTCTGGGACTTTCAAGCACCTCGTTATAGATTTAAGGACTTTCAAGGCCTTGAATTTTTGTTTTCATATTCAAGGATTTTCAAGTTTTGTACAAACCCTGTGTACAATATGAATCCAATTCACAATTTTTGTTCTAGCAGTTATTAAACTAATTCCAAACATGACCAACAGGGGACAGTGCACTGAGTTTTTACTATCGGATGTGTAGCTGTGGCATCAACTATCCTCTTAGTACAGCTGAGCGCAAGGTTATTGACAAATACAGTATGTATTCTGTTCAGTGTTGACAGATCGCTGACTTGTTCCACAAGGGAGAGAGGGGGTCAGTATTGAAATAAAAAATACAATATAATCTTGGGAGGGGGGAGATGTTAAAGTACAATTGCAGAGCAAGTCTGTGATAAGTCATTACTGGACAAATTCTATTTGTCAACGTGATAAAGCATACTGTATGACAGCATACTGTATGGTACTATAAATTAGAACTCAGAAACATAAATACAAAATTGTTTAAGAATAACTTACGTTAACAGATGCTTGTCCTTGTATGAGTAAAACAGAATTTATTCTCTGTATTTTGCTTAATTCATGACATTTTAGGAACATTATGATGCCATAAATTAAGCACAAAGCAGGATTCCTCTTCTCTGGATAAATGCTGTTTTCCAACAGCCCAGAAAGAATTTGATGAGCCATAGGACACCTTGTTTTCATTTCGTTTATGAGTTCAGCCATCCATGTTTCAGAACTTAACCCATCAAATGATCTCTGCCTCAGGACCGATGGATTGCCTCTCCTTGCAACTTCAATGAGTTCTTTGTTCGCATGATTTAGAACATATGACGATGCATCGACTAACACTGGAGTACCCTTAAAACATGAAATACAGAAAATGTTTTAATCTAATGAATATCTTGTTTACAGTAAATACTATAATATATGCATCAATGAATAAATTTATTCATGATCATGAATGCGCTCATTGATGGCGCAAAATATTTAATAACTCAATAGTTAAGCATTTAATAACTCATGAAGGACAATAATTAAATAATATATTGGAAAAAGAACAGTTCTTGATACTTACTAGTATATTTGGGGATGCACTTTGAGTATCATCAGTGGTTGACACATTGAAGTCGATGCTTCGTCGACGTGAACTCCCAGCAGCTCGCACTTTCGTGGGCTGTACAACAGTTGGCGATAGATCTACACAACGTTTTGTGCGAACATTTTCAGCTAACGCTTTCTGAGTCTCTGTTATTACGTTCTTAAACTGAATGGCATTGTTTAGTCTTCTCTCACAAGGCGCACAAATATGAGCAGGAAAATTGCTTTCGTGTGGCAACTCGCCGCAAAATATTTTCTCAGCGTTGTGTAGAATTGCCTGATTCTTCCTCAAAAACAGACTCTTGCTATGTTTTGGATCAGTAACACAATTGCAAAGTCTGCAACGTGAAATAGTTACAGTGGATTCTCCTTGTTTGTAGTACTTTTTCGGCGTGCTTTTGCAGCCATCGACTCGATTGCGTGAATACGCTGTGGAAATACGATCCTATTTATAACAACATGCTTGGAGTGTAATTTAATACTCCTTGTGTTCCATACAGGATGTATTTAATTTCACTGCTTTATTTCTAAAGATTTACAGATTTATACTTGTGAAATAGAAGTAAAATTTACATATTTACGCACAAATTCATCACAACGAAAATATGAATATTTCCAAAGGGAACAAACGCGCTCCTTTCCCTCCCCTCCCTAATTGAATTTATAATTTACCCCCAAAATCTGGGGGTTCACGTGACCAGCTCCGATCAGGGTCTTTGCTTCCCAAGAGCAAAGAGCCTGGGTACGAGGTTGAAGTCCCAACTGCCCAACATAAAATAAATTCCTTGATTCTCATCACCGCCCGACTGAATTTTAAAATCCTCGTGAAAACGTTTTATATTTCGTTATACAATATAAATGTACCGCCCGACAAAATAATTCAAAACAGTTAATTTTTTCATATTTTAATATATAGAGTTTTTATTGCCATTTTAAACTTCCAATTTGAAACAAACAGAATTTTGAGTGAAATTTCATTGTATTTTAAAGAAACTCAGTCATTCTGTCGTTGTTCGTGGAGATACGAACTATTGATGTTACGAAAGTCACCGAACTGTGGAATCGCATAAAAAATTGTATATCGACCACTCCCACAAACGTCTATGACCGCGCCTACATAGTTTTGCACGTTTACAATTCTAATTTTAAACAGCCAATTACCAACAACCTGATTGGCTGTTCAAAATTAGAATTGTAAACATGCAAAACTATGTAGTCGAATGTAGGCGTGGTCGTAGACGTTTGTGGGAGTGGTCGATATACGAATTTTTGATGCGATTCCACAGTTCGGTGACTTTCGTAATATATAAATTATAAATATAAAATATAAAAAATATATCTCCCACTGTCTTCGACATTTCAAAGTGTAGACTGTGTCTAGTGATGAGAATCAAGGAATTTATTTTATGTGTTAATATAAACCAAGCTCGTTTAGCCGTTTAGCTGCCTTAAAACGGTGGTTTAATAAGCTCAAAATACAAAGCATGCAAGTCTATACTATAGATTCATCATCAGTCAACAACCAAAATGAAAGTATTGAACCTTATAGAACGATAGTTTTTATTTGTTTACAACTATACATATTCAACGGGTA